GCGCGCACCGACGCGCTGCTTCTCTGGCCATGCTGAGGCCGTGTCCCACATACAGCAACTAGAAGGATGTGCAGCTATGACACACAGCTATCTACTGGGGCTTTGGGGGGAAAAAATAAATAAATAAAATCTTTAAAAAAAAAAAAAAAAACCACAATGAGATATCACTTCACACCTGTTAGGATGGCTATTATTAAAAAAGAAAATAAAAGATAAATGTTGGTGAGGATGTAGAGAAAAGGTGCACTGTTGGTGGGAATGTAAATTGATACAGCCGTTATGGAAAACAGTAAGAAATTTCCTCAAAAAATTAAAAATAGAACTACCATGTGATCCAGCAATCCCACTTCTGGTATTTATCCAAAAGAATTGAAATCAGGATCTCAGAGAGATACCTGCATTTTCATGTTCATTGCAACATTATTCACAATAGCCAAGATATGGAAACAACCTAAATGTTCATGAACAGACTAATAAATAAAGAAATTGTGATATATACATACAACAGGATATTATTCAGCCTTAAGAAAGAAGAAATCCTGCCATTTACAACAGCATGGATGGACCTGGAGGACATTATGCTAAGTGAAATAAGCCAGACACAGGACAACAAATACTGTGTGATCTTACTTATATGTAGAATCTAAAATAGTCAGACTCATAGGGGCAGAGAGTAGAATGGTGGTTGCCAGGAGCTGGAGTGAGGCGAAAAGGAGGAGGTGATGGTTAAAGGGTACAAACTTTCAGTTATGGAAGATAAAGAAATTCTATAGATCTCCTACGAGGCATAGTGCCTATAGCTAACAATATTGTATTGTATACTTAAAATTTGCTAAGAGGGTAGATCTTATGTTAAGTGTTTTTACCTCAAAAAATTAATAAGTAGTGGGAAGAAATTTTGGGAGATGATGGATATGTCTATGGCCATGATGGCAGTGATGGTTTCATCAAACTCATCAAGTTGTATACATTAAATACGGATAGCTTTTTACATGTCAATAATACCTCAATAAAGTGGTTTAAAAAATTACTGAGAAGGAAGGACTTACTTCTGCCATTTTGTCATTTATTTTCTGTGTGTCTTATATCTTTTTTGTCCCTTGTTTCCTCCATTACTGCCTTCTTTTGTGTTTAGTTGTTTTTTTGTGGTGACACATTTTGATTCCCTTTTGTGTGTATTCTATAGATATTTTCTTTGTGGTTACCATAGGGATTACATATAAACACCATAAAGTCATAACAAGCTAATTTGAATTTATACCAACTTAACTTTAATTGTATACAAAATCTCTACTCCTATAGAGCCCCATTCCCTGCCTCCACTTTATGTTATTGATGTCACAGATTACATGTTTATAATTGTATACCCACCAACATAGATTTATAATTATTTTTTATATCAGTCTTTTAAGTCCTGCAGAAAATAAAAAGAGGAATTATAAATCAAAATTATAATCATACTGACTTTTATATTTGCCTGTGTATTTACCTTTACTGGAGAACTTTATGTCTCCACGTTGGCTTCAAGTTACTGTCTAGTGTCCTTTCATTGCTTGCTGCAGGACTCCCTTTAGAATTTCCTGTAGGGAAGGCCTAGTGGTTATGAACTCACTCAGCTTTTGTTTATCTGGGAATGTCTTAATTTCTCTCTCACTTTTGAAGGACAGTTTTGCCAGATATAGAATTCTTAGTTGACAGTTTTTTTTTCTTTCAACACTTTTTTTTTAAAAAACACTTTTAAGGCCTTCAGGCATCCGCGATATCTGCTGAGAAATCAGCTGATAATCTTGTTGTGGGTCCCTCGTATGTGATGAGTTGCTTCTCTCTTGCTGCTTTCAAGATACTCTTTGTCTTTTGACAGTTTGATTGTAATGTGTCTTGGTGTTGGTCTTTTTGGGTTTATCATACTTGGAGTTTGTTGGGCTTCTTGGAGTTTCAGATTCATGTAGTTCATCAAATTTGTGAAGTTTTTGGCCATTATTTCTTCAAATAATCTCTCTGTCCCTTCCTCTCTTTCTTCTCCATTAGGGATCCCCATAATGTGTATAGTGATCCACTTGATTGTGTCCCACAAGTACCGTAGGCTCTGTTTACTTCATTCTTTTTTCTTTCTGCTCCTCAGACTCAATAATTTCAATTGTCCTGTCTTCATGTTTGCTTATCCTTCTTCTGGCTGCTCAACTCTGCTGTTTATCCTGTCTATTGAATTTTTAAATTTCAGTTATTGTAGTTTCCAGCTTCAGAATTTCTGTTTCAGTCCTTTTTATAATTTCTGTCTTTTTATTGGTGATATTCTCATTTTGATTATATATTGTTTTCTTGACTTCCTTTGGTTCTTTGTCCATGTTTTCCTATAGCTCTTTGAGCATATTTAAGACAGTTTTTTAAAAGTCTTTGTCTTGTAAGCCTGGTGTCTGGGTTTCCTCAAGGACAGTTTCTGTCAATGTAATTTGTTTCTTTGAATGGGCCATGTTTTCTTGTTTCTTTTTATGACTTGTGATTTGTTTGTTTAAAATTGGACATTTGAAAAAACAGCCACCTCTCCTACTCTTTGCAGACTGGCTCTGTGCTGGGGCAGTTCTTCACAGATTACCTGGGCTTGCTCTGAGCCTAAGGATCAGTCTCAGGTGAAAGCTTAAATTCTGCTCAGGTATTTTCTGAGTATGCATCTTGCCTTGGCCTGCATGTTGCTTTCTCAATTCCTCTGTATACACAGTTGCTTTTGAATGCCTTAATTTCTCAAAAAGTCTCACCCAACTTCTCCTCAGGACCTTAGATGGCCTATTGCATGTCTCTACCTGTATCTCTTGACCCAGGTATGTGTGGGTCTTTAGTCTCCCTGCAGCTTTCATGAGCAGCACCTGATGTTTTCCTACCTGAGATCTGAGTTAGACAAAACAGAGACCAATCTTTCAGTCTTCCTCCAGAGAGGTCAGAATTTTGTAAACAAGGTCTCTTCTGCTCTCTGTGGTTTGAGGAAGGGAAGTAGGAGCTGGGTTTCTGTCTCCTCCGGACCAAGACCACTGACGTGCTGGGGAGGGGATAAGACAAGGGCAAGTAAGACTGCCACAAAACTTTTCCTAACACTTTGAAGGTGACTTTTTCTTGATTGGGTATTCATTTGGTTGCTGTAAAACTTTGACTAGTTTTCAGAACTCCAACCAGGTTAGTTTAGCCAGTTTCTGTTTTATTTTTATTTAATTTTTATGTATTTTCTAGTCCATCATTTGCTGACATCATTAAGTATATGTCAGTTCTTAATGAGCAATTCTGAGAGCCATTTTTCATCAGAGTAAAAATTAATAACTTATCTTCTTGGTGATATATTTGTAGAATTGAATGGAGCTACAACAGGGATTTGTGTTTACTCTGACTGGAGGCAGTCTAGCTTAATGGTTAAGGGAAGGAATTTTGGATAGGGTACAAATGAATCCCAGCTTGGCTTCTTATGAGGAAGTTATTTAACCTTTCAATATCTCAGTTTTACCTTCTGAAAAATAAGTATAACAAATGTTAGGTGGTTGAGAGGGGTTAACAAAATGATTCTCCTCAAAAAACACTTATCAAGTGCTCAACAAATATCAATAATCTTATAAAAATTACTTCATATGTCTATTGTTTACAGCTCCACCCACTGAGTGGCCACATATATTGATGACTACCCTTTAGTCCAGGCATATTAAGTACATATTATTTTTTGAGTAGCTACAAAGAGCTTTCTGACTATTTTTACCCAATGTTTTTAATTCTATGGATCTAAGTAGGGATATTGCTCTCCAAAAAACTTCAGGGATTACAAAGATAGAAAAGATGATACTACTCAATACTAGCTAGCAAGGGTGTGGTGAGATGGGTGTTCACATACTGTTGATGGAAACTGCAATTAGTAGAGCTTTTTTGGAAAGCAAAATGGCGCTGTAGGGAAGCAGCCCTAAAAACGTTCATACCCTTTTACTGAGTCATTCTATCCTAAGGAGATCTAAGGAAACTGTCAGAGATGCAAAGATACAACTATCATCCACTCGTTTATTCACTTAAGAAATATCTGATACCTGCTAAGTGCCGGGTGTTAACTCTAGGCTTTGTGATCAAGACCCAGCTTCTGTTCTCAGGGAGCTTTAAAATGGAAAGTTGGAAACACTATGAATGTGCAATAATAGAGAAAGGGTCAAATAAATTTTGTTCATCCATAAGATGGAATATTATGAAGCTTTGAAAAAATCATGTTTTGAAGAATTTTTAATGCAAGGGGGTATGTGCTGATTGCATAATGTTATTAAAAAAGACAAAAGCTTTATTTAGCATAATATTAATTTTGTTTTAAAAATATACAAATACGTACATAGAAAAAAGCCTAGAAATACACCAAAATGTTAATAATGGTTATCTCTGGTTGATGGTGTAATGGATGATTTAAAGTTTTTCTTTGTATTTTTCTATTTAAATACAGAAATATATATATATATATTTTAAATCTTTTAAAATAAATATTTTTGGAATGAGCATATGTTACTTTTATAAGCAGAAAAAAAATATACGTACTTTCAAGGAGAGAGATTTTGGAAGAGAATGTTTATAGTGTTCAGGGGAAATGAGAGATGCTTTTGTACTGGGCACTCCTTCATCCTGGAGGTCCAGGAAAGAGAGGGCAAGGGGAGGGGAGAGTAGATAAGTGGAACAGCCCATTTTCTGGTTGTGTAGTCTCTTCTTTTTACCTCCCTTCTGCTTGGCTTAGGATCGGACCCAATCGGTAAAAGGCTGACTTTCAGAAAAATCATAGAAATGTATCCTTTCCTCATTGGACCTTCCTTTTTTATGGGGAAGGCAGTGACAGCATTTCTTTTGCACTGCCTTCCTAATGCCATCTGCATATAGCAGATCACAAAATATGCACTATCTTTTCCTTCCTAGGTTTTTTTTTTTTTTCAGTTTTGGGTGGATATTATTAGTACCTTCTGATCTTTTTGCAAATATGGGAACTGTATGATTTTTATTTTCAGTAAAAACCGAACCACCTGAGATTTACAGTGTGAAACCAGTTTTGGGCGTCAAACGAATGGTTCAAATAAAATGGAAAAGGCCTGTGTTGGCACCTGCTTCAACTACTTTAAAGTACATGCTTCGATTCAGAACAGTAAATAGTGCCCACTGGGTAAGTTATGCCATTATAATATTTCTATTAGAGGGCTCAAAGAAGAGAATTATTGACAACTTTTGTTGACCTGGAATCATTTTTTCCATTTTCTAAATTGAAAATAGGAGATAGATAATAGTGAATACTTTTCTTCCCAGGTTCCCATTTGGGTCTTTTAGATTGGAAAAGTGTTTTTTTTTTTTCGTGAGCCCTGAGCTAACATCTGTTGCCAATCTTCCTCTTTTTGCTTGAGGAAGATCGCCCCTGAGCTAACACCCATGCCAATCTTCTTCTATTTTGTATGTGGGATGCCACCACAGCATGGCTTGGCAAGTGGTATGTATGTCCACGCCTGGGATCCGAACTGGCGAACCTCAGGCCACCAAAGTGGAATGCGCGGACTTAACCACTTTGCCACCGGGCCAGCCCTGGAAAAGTGTTTTATTATAGGCATCTTGCATTCTGAGCACAGGGACGTATTAAAGAGTAAGAAATTTCAACAAGTGTTGATTTAAGCCTTTTGCACATTTTTTTATTGGATGGTCTGATTTTTTAATTGATTTGTAGGAGTTCCTTATATATTCTATTTATGAGTCTGTTATTTGTTATGTGTGTTGCAAACATCTCTCATTATATGGCTTGCCTTTTCACTCTCTTACTGGTGACTTTGGATGAATAGAACTTCTTAATTTTAATACTGTCAAATTTCATCAATCTTTTCCTTTATTCTTAATGCTTTTTGTATCTTAAGAAATATTTTCTTACTTCAGATTTCAGTATTCTCATATTTCCATTAATGTAGCCTGAAATTATATCAACATTTTTTTTGGCAACCACCTTACATTTTTGACTCTTAATTACCTCCTAGCCAGTTAAATCAGTTAAATCTTTAAGACTTTTTCCCCACACAAGATTTGCTAGTAAAACACATCTCCACTGTCTTATAACTTGTTGGTTTTTAACCTAAGTGCAGGTGTTTTATTTATTCCTATTGAATTTCTTCATGTTCATCTTATCCATCATTTCAGCCCATTTAGAATCTTTATTCTATCACCCCAAACTTACAGTTAACTTTCTACTTTCTAACTTTTCAGTATCTTCCGGTTTGATAACACTCACTTCTATACCTTTATCTCATCATTAATGAAAGTAGTGACTACATCAGAGGCCTGTGGTAAATCAGTAGAGACCATCCAGAGACATCAACCTCTCCTTCTTTGAGTGTGGTCATTTACTCAGGCTTCTTTGAATATACCTAATTACCACTGGAATCATTCAGCCTACTTTTTAAATCTTGTTTATGAGGCTATCACTAGGCCTTTTTGTTTGCTGAAACCCATAGATACCATGTCTGTTGCATCCTCTCCTTGTCTAGCACTCTTTCAGAAAAGAAAATTGGTTAAGTTTCACTTGTCTTGTGTTCAAGACAAGAGAAATAATGATGTCCACTCCTCCTTTCAGGTTCATTTCTATGCCAGCTCTGGAACCATTCTCCTAGAACCTGACTACATGTAACATAAGACTCACTGATTTGTAGTTCCTGGAACTCAGAAGGGAACCCCTTAGCAGGGCAGTCCCTGGCACAACATAAGCTCATCTTCCTTCACACCACATGTCATGGTCTCAGTGAACCTGAGGAGTTTCTAAAGTAATCTATTGTCTAGCAACCCTTGATTTCTTCTATTTGTCTGGTCCCAGAGTCCTATGGCTGCTGGAATAGAATTCAACAAGAAAAATAAAGGAGATCTATGTCCCTCTAAAAAATTACTAAACCATGTACAACACTAGGTGAGGACAGGATGTGTAAACTACCCCAACTCCCAGCATCCTATGCCCACTTCTTTGACAAACTCACCTACATCTGCACTCGTCTTTGCCTCCTTGCTTCTAGACCCTGAGGTCAGAGGTTTTTCCTCCTGTTCTCCTGGAGGAAGTGGGAAGGAAAGTGGAATGTGCAGCCAATATCTCTTTCTTTTCAGCTTTGGAGCACAATCAAGTCTACTCAGTTCTAAATCCAGCTAAGTCAACCCGAACTTCTATGGATGGTTCCCATTATCTATGGAAGAAGGTCCAAAACCTTAACCCTCCAAGACCTGGCCCCTATCGACCCCTCCAACCTCATCTTTTCATCTTGCCTTTGCTTCTCAAGTAATTCTGAATTGCTAGTTTCCCTTGCATCATGTCATCTCACTATTCGTGCTTCTGCCTAGAACACCCTCTGCCTTTGTACCTCTACTCCTGCCCCAAACCTTGCTAGATCTATTCATCTCTCAGAACTCAGGTCTGACATATTTCCTTCTGAGAGCCTAAGCTAGGCACTCGTCCTCTGTCACTGCACGTCTTGCTCCACACAGTCATTTAAAGTCATCTCTCCCAGCGTTAGACTGTAAGTTCCTCAAACACAGAGACCTTGGTTTTCATCTTTGTTTTCCCATTGTCTGGCACATGGCCTCAATAAATGTTTGTTTAACTAAACTAAACCATATAAAAGCTAATTCTAAAATCCCAATATGTCTGTATAGCAAGACTCATATTTGTATGATGCTATGTGGGTTACAAAGTGCTTTCTTATACTCCAAACTATTTAATCTTTGCAAATATCCTATAAATGAGGCATCACAATTCTTATTTTTACAGATTATAAAATTGCAATGTAGAGAGTTTAAATCACCTGTCCAAGATTGCAAGGTTTGTAAGTTGCAGACCTGAGCCCAGGTTTTCTGACTCCAAGTTCAGTCATTCATTTGACATACTTTAGCAACCTCCACACCACCTTCCTGTGGCCCTAATCTAAAGGGTTTCCACCTTTATAAATTGGATCCATGTGAACCCTTTACAAAAGTCTTAAAACAAGACTGTTTTAAGAGTTCGATTTAGGCTTCGAACCAAAACTTCTCACTCATCTCTTAAGACGTAAGCACTTTGGGTGAGCTAGGATTTGGCACAAAGTATAGAGTGTTAGAAACAAACATGATGAAGTTAATTATTGTTTTGGTAGGAGTCCATTGCCTGGGTTGGGTTGGGAAGTTTTATATTTAAGCCTCTATATGGAGGATCAATTGATCCTGGACCCTGTGAGGGCCAAAGGCACTTAGTCTGGACAAAAAGCCAAAGTAAAAGAAGCCTTAGATGCACACTGTTTGAAAGACTGAGCAGCTATTTTTTTTTTTTCTTTTGAGGCTAGGCTGAGAAGAACTGGCTTGCATAGCTGCATTAGGCACAGCTTTCTGAACATGAGTGTGAGGAGACCCAGCAGGCAGGCCGTGCCTGTGCTGAGGGTACTAGCAAAGCAGGAGGAAAAACTCACAAGCTTTTTAAAAAAGAATATTATATAATTTAAAAAGCATGAGAAGTAAAATAGAACTTTATTAGACTTCCTTGCACCTATTTTATGGCTTAATATTGTTTTTATTTTGATTTACTTGTGGAGGGCACCATGTGGTTGGCCTTCTCCTAAAGGTCTTGATCTGGTTCCAACTGGGCCCCATAACCGGGGTAAGTTGGGGAGGCTACTTTCCCAGAGATGGTGGGTTGTCCTAAGCTGTGTTGCCAACAACCCTCTTCTGCCACTGCAACATCTCCAGGGGCTGTTGGAGGAGAGTGCTCAGGGAACCTGGGATTCAGCAGCGAAACTGCCTCATCTTTGGACCCTACTTCCTTGCTCCGATGCTGTCTCAGTGGGCTGGGAATTCAGAAGTGTCCATATGCAGCTGGGAGGCTCAGCTTTTTGCCACATACTCACATCCTCATTTTGCCCAATTTCCTTTAGGCCCAGGACCTATAATTATGTACTTATTTTCACAGCTGTTATATATGCGTAAGAAATATCAGGACTTCCTTCTCTCTCAGGGTTCTTTGGGACTAGTGTGCATACTCACAAAATGGACATGCCTATCAGTGCAGTTTATTTTTATTAATCAACTCAATATAAGTTTATGTAAACCAACAGCTAAAAGTTCATATTGCAGCAACAATGACCATGCTTAGAAAGAAATAGCTGAATTTTTAGTTTCTCTTGGAGGGCTGGGTCCAGAAAGGACTTTAGAGATTATATAAAGCAATACTAATGAGGAAACTCAAGTTTAGAAAGGAGAAATGATTTATTTACCTCTCCTCCCTCCCCAACCCAAGACAGTGTCAAAATGAATTTATGCATCCAGGCTGCTAAGATCTTTAGCAGCTTGACTGGTCACCCAAAAACCAGTCATTTCGAGTAGAAGATTTGGGTAAAGGGAAAGAGTCTAGGAGTGAGGAAATCTGTGTTCTGGTCCTAATTCTGCGGATAACAAAGGCTGAGGTAGTCCACAGTCACTTAACTTTTCTGAGGCTTGTTCGTGACATGAGGCTGAACTTAATATGGCTGAGCTCTGTGTTACCTGCTGTTCTGTGAGGCCTTATCTCTAGGTATTGGAGTCACCTGCACAGTTTAAACTGAGGCCCAAGATGCCCTGGGTCCCAGGACTCCACATTGCGTCTTCCAGAACAGCAAGACTCTGCTGACTCACATCCAGCCCAGAGGCAGGAATCTCTGCCTCACAAGCTTAGAGACAGGAAATGGGGAGGGTGGTGGTTCATGGGGTGGCTCACATCTATTTAGATGCAAATGGTCCCCAGGCATGTGTGGAAGTTTATTTATGAAAATTATGTATTTTAAAATTTGAGATATAATACTACTAGTTCTGAAAAGGTAAGAGAGGGTTGCGGAGTGAAGAAGAAAAATGGCAACATAACGTGTGGTCTCCCATCCAGCTCTGGGTTGTCTCTGTCTTTTAGATGGAAATCAACTTCAAAGAATATTTCTTTGGACATGCAACATACAACCTCATGGGGCTGCAGGCTTTTACGGAATATGTCGTAGCTCTGCAGTGTGTGGCTGAGAAGTCGATGTTCTGGAGTGGCTGGAGCCAAGAAAAAATGGGAACAACTGAAGAAGAAGGCAAGATGGGCCCTTGTAATTCTTTTTCTGCCTGCTCTGGTTTAGGTGGCCTGGGCCTAGGCTTTGTGGTTTTTGTCAAGGGCCGTACATGGGAATCATGGACTCCCATAATCCCAGAGCTTAGAGAGTCTACATTCTCTCTCCACAAGGCACTCTCTGCACCCACCTGAGCCCACAGGATAAGCCTGCCCTCCTCTGATGGTATTAGTTACATTAGCAGCTTTTGCTCCAAAGATAAAAGGTCACATCTTTAATACTCTTATAAAGTTCTTATACTGTATATGAAGAGATATATTATTTAAAGGTATCCTATGATAAATTAAAGATATATATTGTAAACCCTGTAGCTACTACTAAAAAAAGAAATAAAGGTATAACTAATGAGAAAAAAAAGTCACATCTTTTAGTGACAGTGAGAGAAGGAAAGAGAAAGGGATTGATTGAGTGCTTACCGTGAGTTAGGTATGATAATTAAGTACTTCAGGTCTGTGGGCTTGGCTTTAAATTACGGCCTGGCCCTGGAGTGACTTTGGGCAAGATACCTAATCTCTAAGCCTCAGTTTCTTCGCTATTTATTCCCCTCTTCCATAGTGGAATATAATTTGTAAAACTGAGTTAATAGTAGTATCTACTTTTTAGTGTTATTAAATTTAATTAATTAATTATTTACAATTGAGGTCACATTGATTTATAACATTGTGTAAATTTCAGATGTACATCATTATATTTCACCTTCTGTATAAACTACGTCACATTCACCACCAAAAGTCTAGTTTCCATCCGTCACTGTACACATGTGCCTCTTTACCTCTTTGCCCCTTCCACTCCCTTCCCCTCTGGTAACCCCTAATCTGTTCTCTGTATCTATGTGTTTGTTTGTTTGTTTATCTTTCACATATGAGTGAAATCTTATGGTATTTGTCTTTCTCCATCTGACTTATTTCACTTAGCATAATACCCTCAAGGTCCATCCATGTTGTTGCGAATGGCAAGGTTTCATCTGAGTAGTATTCCATTGTGTATGTAGATGCCAAATCTTCTTTATCCATTCATCTGTCACTGGTCACTTAGGTTGTTTCCAGGTAGTAGCTATTGTGAATAACGCTGCAGTAAACATAGGGCTGCACATATCTTTTCGAATTAGTGTTTTTGTGTTCTTTGGATAAATACCCAGAAGCAGAATAGCTGGATTATATGATAGTTCTATTTTTATTTTTTTGAGGAATTGCCATACTGTTTTCCGTAGTGGCTGCACCAATTTACATTCCCACCAGCAGTATATGAGGGTTCCCTTTTCTCCACCTCCTCTTCAACACTTGTTATTTCTTATCTTTTTAGTAATAGCCATTCTGACAGGTGTGAGGTGATATCTCATTGTGGTTTTGATTTGCATTTCCCTAATAATTAGTGATGTTGAACATCTTTTCATGTGTCTGTTGGCCTTCTGTATATCTTCTTTGGAAAAATGTCTATTCAAATCCTCTGCCCATTTTTTAATCAGGTTGTTTGTTTTTTTGTTGTTGAATTGTGTGAGTTCTTTATGTATTTTGGATATTAACCCCTTATCAGATACATGATTTACAAATATCTTCTCACAGTTGGTAGCTTTTCTTTTTGTTTTGCTGATGGTTTCCTTTGCTTTAGAGTTATTTTAAAGATTAAATGAAATAATGTCTTTAGCCCATAGTATGCATTCAGTAAATGCCAGATTTCCTATCATTATTAATCCTCCTAAGAGCCCTATAAAACACGGTAGAGTCACCCCCATTTGAAGGTGAGGGAGTTGTTTCAGACATGTTAATAAATTGCTCAGGGTCACTCAGTATGTGTTAGCATTCTCTGTAAATCAAGAGCCTTGCCCAGTGCCTGACCCCCAGTAGATGGTCAATAATGTTTGATGAATGTATTAGTTTCCTGTGGCCACTGTAATAGCTTAGCACAGACTGAGTTGCTTAAAGCAACACAAATTTTTTCTCTTACAGTTCTAGAAGTCAAAAGTCCAAAATCAGTTTCACTGGTCTTAAGTCAAGATATTGTCAGGGTTGTTTCCTTTTGGAGACGCTGAGGGGGAGAATATGTTTTCTTGCCTTTTCCACCTTCAAGTGGCTGCCTATATTCCTTCGTTAGTGGCCTTTTCCTCCATCTACAAAACATGTCACTCCAGTCTCTGCTTCCATCATCACATTACCTGTTTCTCCTGTTCTGTGTCACATCTCTCTGCCTCCCTCTTGTAATGACCTTAGTGATAACATTTAGGGCCCACCTGGATAATCCAGGGTAATCTCCCTATCTCAAGATCCTAACTTAATCACATCTACAGGGTCCCTTTGGCCACATAAGGTAACATTTATAGGTTCCAAGGGTTAGGATTTCAATCTTTGGGGTCCATTTTTCAGCCTAAACACAATGAATAAATGAAGGAATGACTAATTAGATGAATACTTGGTGATGTCCACACATCTTCTTCTGAAATATGGAAAAGAAATGCAAAAATACTCACCCTTCTTTTTTTTTTTTTTTAATTTTATTTATTTATTTTTTCCCCCAAAGCCCCAGTAGATAGTTGTACGTCATAGTTGCACATCCTTCCAGTTGCTGTGTGTGGGACGCGGCCTCAGCATGGCCAGAGAAGTGGCGCGTCTGTGCGTGCCCGGGATCCGAACCCGGGCCGCCAGCAGCAGAGTGCGCGCACTTAACCGCCAAGCCATGGGGCCGGCCCAATACTCACCCTTCTAACCTGAGGCTTTAACCTTATTTGTTTGTAAAACACGTGGATTTTAGACCATGAAATTCCCCCACCCCCACCCCCACCCATGACTTCAGGCCCTTCTTATTCAGTCTCATAGCTGAGTCCCCCACTGCTCTCAGGTAACATATAGGGTCAACTTGTGTGCTCCCTGGTCCACATGGACAACAATTTGTTCCTCTGGATCCTGGTTGAGTTTTCCCATAAGACCAAGTTGGTATTAACAGATGTTTGGCACATCCTCCCATGTGGTCAGATGCCTGGAAACAATCTGGTGCCTTCTGAATTTTTTATCCCCGCTGGAGATATTCATGCTTACTCTGGACAACCCCTTGGTGGGTGTGGTTACACAACAGGGATTCATGCAGCACTGAGGAATTGGGCTAGATGGCCTCTGAAGGCCCCTTTCACCAGTATCCAGTCTTCTATGCCAGGCTGTAGCAGTACAGGAAAAAAGTCATAGAAAATCCCAAAATATTATGTGTTTAAGTGCTTAGAACAGTGCCTTACAAGTGTTGAGGTCTATGTAAATTTTAAATAAATAAAAAATACAAGCATGGTTAAAACAAAACTAGTCAAGTTGTGGATCTAATGTAAACTTTTGATTAAAATTGCATACAATATTTGGGAACGTATTTACATTCTACAGACATATCTCAAAGTGTCCAATGAATGCAAATATAACAGTTTACAAATATCAAACAGCACATAAATTACACAGTAAAAAATGGCCCAATGATTGTAATCTGTTGGCAGAGCTTGTAAGACAACATGTCAGTGGAATGCAGGTGAAGTCATATGTGAAGTCTAGACAGTTCCAGTTAGTTATTGTTGTCTGTGTCTTAGCTGAGCCCTCCCTTTTAAAATATTAGAATGAAACACATGCAATATAATTGAGCAAATTGTCCTCTCCCTTTGCTCCGCTTTCAGCAGGCGATCTGGGAGACGAAGTTCTACCTCACGTGTGATCTTGTTTTGCACAGCTCTTTGCCTCCTTGTAGCTGTCACTCTTCTCTCCAGTGACCTCCTGGTGCTGTTATGGCTCGGTGTCTTAAGTTAGCTCATCATAGTCCAGCCACTCTCTGATGTCAGTTTCATCCACTTGTTTTGCTGACAGAAACAAGATTTACCATTTCAACTCATGTATTATTTCAGCTAGTTTGGCTAAGATTAATTAGCAAAACACGGGATGCTGGTTTTCTCTGTGCCCTTTACTAATGAAATAAAATCAACACTTATTTATCAAAGTCACCACCAGAGAACTTTTGCTTGTTTTTCAGGATCCCAGAAGAAATTGATGAAAATTCCCCCACCTCCCAGCAAATCCTAATTTCTCCTTTTCCAATTCATAAACTATTTGTTTCCCTGTTTCACAAAGAAATGCCAGTTGTTTAATACATACCACCTTAAACCTTTTCTAATTATTTGAAGATTTCTAAGTTGAATGTGAAGCACTCATTTTCTTTTGGACTTCATCATATTGATTATTAGGGTTACTTACCCACATTTAAGCATATAAATATCTACTACACGACACCGATATAATTATATTAAATCCTGGCTTTATTATTAAAAGCTTATAATATTGGGCAGTTGCTTAACTTCTCTGTGCTTCAGAAATGGAGACAATAATATTGGTGTACCTAATTATAGGGCTGTGGGGATTAAATGAGATAATTCAGGTAAAAGGCTTAGTACAGTGACACTTGCTAAAAGTTAGCTATTCTTGTTGTGGTCTTCAGCAAGGGCGCCAGTGTGTGTGTGAGGTGGTGGTAGTTGCAGTAGTCCCAGATTGTAATAGAAACAACATAACATCAAATTGTTACTATATTGGTCCAAACAATTGATGCCTTTGAATATGTAGATATTTTGATGGATCTGGAAAATTTTCATTTTGTTCTTTCAAAAATACAGAATTATTACTTTTTCCCCTTTGATTAAACTGAAAATCCATTATTAACTCATGGTTAATGGAAAATTGGCTGTAATAATTATAGAAGATTTATATGCAAGTCAGGCAATGGTTTTACTAAAAGCTGTATCTGTGGGAAGTCTAGAATGGGAAGACTGTTTCTCTTTGGACCATATCTGCAGAAAATAGTGGCCTCAGTGAAAGAAGAAAATACCTGATTATATTCATTCATCATCACTACCTGCTAACACTAAATGGCTTCTTATGGGATAAATCTAAGGAGAATTTCACTCATATTTCTAATCAAGTGACTAGAATGATTGATTATTTAATCATCAGTTTATTTTTACCTCTCTCTATCCTTCAGATGAATATGTGGGACTGGATTGTTTGAACATTTTGCCTTTAGGTTTTTTCTTTCTTACTCTCAATATTATTAACCCTGAGTCTGACTTCCACATAACTGGAACAGAGAGGCTCTGCAAGTAAGAACTGGAGTGAGAGTCCTTCTTCTGTGGGTCACCTTTGAAGGTAGTCTCGGGCTAAGTCTGTCTTCTGGGAGGAACTGTCTCTGCTCACGTCTCACTGGCTTGTAGACAGGCTGAAACCAGGCCTGTTGCTCCCTGTCTGAGAAAGTTGAGTACTGGCTGTCTTGTCTTCTGATTTAGTAAAGACCTTTGGGAAATCAGAAAACCCCTGGTAGAGTTTGTAAGACAACACCTCAGTGGAATGCAGATGAAGTCATATGTGAAGTCTAGACAGTTCCAGTTTCCTTATATCCAGATTACATGAAATTACAATAGATCTCATTGAGTGACTTGGAGCCTAACAGTTAGACTGTGTTACCTACACTTTGGCTTCTGCAAGAGTAGTTGTAGAAATGTGACTCTCCATTGGTGACAAGACAGTTTATTGACTTAATTGCCCTTTGGCACATATTTCTACATTATGAATTTGTTTTTAGTTGGAGTTCAGTAATTTCACTTTAAGACACTGAATCACCTGAAGTTAAAAAGATCCCTGAAAACAATCTCTCAGTACTAAAATAGTTTAGATCTTTGCCTGAGTAGTGGACCCGTTCTTTGCAGACCTAATTACATTATCTTTAGCCGTGTGATTTCCTCAAGAAAAGACGCAGAGTGCATCAACTGTAGCTTCAATTAGAGACATTTCCTCATTTCTCCAAATTACAGGCCACTAGCCTTCTGGACAGTTCTTTAGAACTCTCTGCTTTCCTCTTATGGCAAAAGTGTGTGGGCCATTCTTTAATCAGAAACTCAGCATTTTGAAATCTTAGGTGCATGTCAGAGCACTCAACTATAAATTGCCAGTGATCCACTCTTTGTCAAAAGCTGCTTGAGACATGATATTTGAGAGATATAGTCCAGAGATAAAGTGGAATGTAAATTCCTCTTGCTTTGTTTATCTCTGTATGATTAGATCATCAGAAGCTAACACACTTGAACTATGTTGTCTTTTTTTTTTTTTTTTAAAGATTTTATTTATTTTTTTCCCCCCAAAGCCCCAGTAGATAGTTGTATGTCATAGCTGCACATCCTTCTAGTTGCTGTATGTGGGACGCGGCCTCAGCATGGCCGGAGAAGCGGTGTGTCGGTGCGCGCCCGGGATCCGAACCCGGGCCGCCAGCAGCGGAGCACGTGTACTTAACCGCTAAGCCACGGGGCCGGCCCATGAACTATGTTGTCTTAGATTCTGTTGTTCACTGGAGAAATGCATGAATCAGGTTTAACATTATGCCCCTGCATTTTATAGAAGACAACCATGAGAAATGTACACATGCAATATTTCTATATACTTCTGCTCAACTATGATTGCAGATGTTGGTCTGTCTGTTACCCTGTGTCTTTTTTTGAGAGGATCCACATGATAAATTTCTTTTATGAATTCAGTACCCATAGCCAGAAAATACTTACCTCTTCTTATGAATTTTATGTTTCCTATTTATCAGACCATGAGAAATATGCAACTCAATATGACTCTCTTTTACTTTTCCTGTGAGGAAGATCAGCATTAAATTTAGAGCTCAGGGAAGGACCTAGTAAAGGTTATTTTTCTGTTCCTTTATTCTTTAATTCTTTCTTATATTTTATAACATTGTAAGTATGCAATTTCATCCTTTTTGGTTGTAGATATGGCCTAAATTATATATACAATCATGTGTTGCTTAACAGTGGGGATACATTCTCAGAAATGCGTCATTAGGCGATTTCGTCACTGTGGGAACATCATAGAGTGAACTTATACAAACCTAGATGGTATAGCCTACTACACATCTAGGCTATATGGTACTAATCTTATGGGACCACCATTGTATATATGGTCTGTCATTGACCAAAACATCGTTACTCAGCACATGACTATATATATATATATATATATATATATATATATATACACCTCCTTATCACTTATCTGTGTCATTCCCAGCTTTAATGTATGTAGGTGTTATATCTTAGAAGACATGAGATGTCACATTTCAATCCAGATTTGAGTGATAAATTATATTACAATAGGATCTATTGTACTTTTCTTTTACCTTACGTTAAGTCATCAGATCCAAGAGCAGTTTTATTTTTTACCTTTTTGGTTGATTTCAATCCTTCGGCTGCAAAATGAATACATCGTTGGTCATTGCAATGCTGTCATCCCTCCAGTCTCTGCTTACTCCTCCTGGCTCCTTCAAGCAAATCCTTCTCAACTACCTCTTCTAAGCAGGCAGCACAGCTAATTTCATTGTCTCTTGTTGCAACTCCCTTCTGTCTGAGTTGAGCACCTCGCTCTTTTTCTTTACAGCTCCACATGGCCTGGATCTGTGGAGAGTCCTGAGACCAGCCATGGTGGATGGAAGAAGGCCAGTGCAGTTGTTGTGGAAGGTGACCTCCCTCTGGATTTTTTTTTTTTTTTTTTCTGTTTAAAACCCTTTGTCTCTTACACCTTCAAGCACTGTGATTCTTGAAAAATTAACATTTGGGACAGGTACAAAGTGCAAGTACAGGAGGCACCTTGACCTTCTGGAGAAAACCATCACTGGTTGGCCTCCACTAGAAGGCAATATAAAATTCTACAGCCCCAGCCCCGCATGGGAGAAGAACACTGACTTGGGGTGTCTTCGGGGCATATATTTTACATGTCCCTTTGAGTGCTGGCATAGTGGGGTACAAGGACAGAACAAGAGCCAAATGTTCCTTTCTAGGATGGAGGCCTGGGAGTGAGGAACAAAGGAGAAGGTAGGTGAGTAATGCAGAGAAGAGGAGAAAGGAGGAGGAAATGAGAGGAGAAGGTAGGAAAAAGGACAGAAAAGAGGGGGGAAGAGGGAATAAACAGGAAAGGAAAAGGGCAAATAGAGAAAAAGAAAACCAGCCAGGAAATAGGAGAGAAAAGATGGGGCAGTTGGAGGGAAGAAGAGAGGAAGGAGAGCAGTGAGATGTCCAAACCCTTTAGTATGTCTCCAAAATTCTCAGGAAATACTTATCATGTTATCTCATACTTGCTGAAGTCCAGGCAAGTTTAAAATCCTTTTGAAAATGGAGAACTCACCCTGCTTTGCCACATGACATTTCAATCACAATTACTTCAGGCTGGGAGCATCCTTCTACCTTTCTCCTCTCCCTTCACACTCTCACTCTCAGGGCTGTGGGACAGCCTCAGGTTGCAGAGGCAGCAAGCAAGGGAAAGCACAACCAGTGGTGTTGGGAAATCTTTGAGCATCAATTCCAGATGTTGTGGTTTCTTTCTCAGTTATCAAGTGTGGAAATAAAGGACTCTGTCAACATATTTTGGGGGAAGAAAAGCAAACAATAGCACATACCCACATGTGGTCTTAGCCACAAAGCAGTGGGTCAAGTAGGCCAAGCTGTGAAGTAGGTGAGATGGACTTCAATGTCCTCCTCCTCATCCCCTCTGCCTGGGGACTGGTCTTTCCTTTGCGCCAATAGGAGAGTTTTCTAAGAATCAGAGACACTTAAAAAAGAATGGACTAAAATTAGATAGTGGTGGTGATTGTAGAACTCTGTGAATCCACTAAAATCCACTGAATCATACACTTTAAAACAGTGAATTTTATGTTATGTGAATTACATCTCAATAAAGCTATTATTTAAAAAAGAGAGTGAATTGTCTTGAGAGAGAAAAGGCTCCCCAGTCATTAAGAAGGTTCTAGCTGACCTTTTATGTCATGGAAGCTACAAAGGAAATTCCTGAACTGGAAAGGCAATAGGACAAAGTGACTTCTAAAGTCCTATCTGGCCTTATATTTAGTCATTTGCTCCATCTATGTGTGTTGTCAGTAACAGAAAGTGAACAACTGGAAAGCCCTGTAATTCCTGGGAAATACACAGCATGCTGATCCCTTGGCAAAACATCTCGTTAGTGGGCTCAGGTTCAAGGCTGAAAAGAAGAGTTTGGCTTGGAGCCCCTGGAGTCACCTTAGGCTTCTCACCAAGGATCTGGGTCTGGCAGGGTAGCCCTGAATGTTTTAGTCCTCTTAGCTGGGATGCCTGGTCCAAGGAAGCTAACTCCCCCCTCAGAGGGAGAGGTGTGGAGATGAAAGGCAAGGGCACAGGTTCTCTCCAACCCTTGGAAGCTTCTGGGTGAGAGATGACCCAGGGCTAGAACAGTCTTAGGATTGGCTTGGAGGAAATGCCTCAACTTTTTAGCTTATGTTCCTCTGCCCATGTGGGATAAAGAGAAAGATACAGCCAAAAGAAAATGGAGGTGCCCTGCTTACATTGGCTTGGGCATTCTCCTAGTGTAGCCTCATGGACTTAGACTTATGTTAAAGGTTGATACCAAGGGGACATTTGGCAGGTCCCCTCTTCGGGTACTTGAAGGGTTAATATCACAGCACAGGGTGTATTATTCATTCCGGGAAGGTAATTACCTGATTGTAGTTTAGCACCTAATAGTTAACACTACCCCCCAACCCCATCCTCACCATTTATCATTATCTCAGTGGCTTTCTTTTTTTGTTTTTGGTAATAAAGTTTGTTTCCTTTGGGTTCAGAAGGCAAGAGAAGCCCCGGTCCTGGAGAAAACGCTTGGCTACAACATATGGTATTTTCCAGAAAACAACACTAACCTCACAGAGACAAGGAACACCACTAACCAGCAGCTTGATCTGTATCTGGGAGGCAAGACCTATTGGGTGTCTGTGATTTCTTATAATTCTCTGGGGGAGTCTCCGGTGGCCACCTTGAGGATTCCAGCTATTGATGAAAAGCGTAAGTACAGTCTAAACATCTTACTTAGATGCCTGGCCCCATCCAATTAGCCAAGGGGTAATCCCTGTCCTTTCAAGGGTTGCTTTTTCTCTCGAGTCAAAACGAACATGAGGTTGGAATTTTTTAGGTTATGGTGAAGAGAGCAAAATCTTCTGGTAATTAATGAGCTCCTTAAAATAAAATTCCTTTGGAACAAAGCCTGTGTTGAAAATCAGAGACTTCATAAATCATACGATACAAAGTCATAAGCCTAGGTGTTCTGCGTGCAGCGTGTATTTGTTTTGTTCTCAGTGAAGGTAAGCTGGATTGAGCCATATGAGACTATCAGGTCTGCCACATCTGTCCTCTGTGGCTGAAACTTCTCTTTTGAAATCTTCCCCTCACAGTATTGACCATGTCCCAGCCTTGGTTTGCTCACTCTCCCATTTTCTTCCTTTTCTCCCTTACATTTGACTACCAAGTTAGGAAATTTTCTAATGTTTATACTTGCCAATAAATTGCTCATTACACTTTTGATTAAGTTGTTTTTAACATTTTACTGCTCCCAGGCAAACACATATTTTATATCCTGTTTTGGAATGAAGTACCTTCTTTGATTTTTATTTAAGGAATTGCAGGCAATGGATTTTCTCTTCTGCTTTATTTTTTTTCTATAAATCTTATTATTCTACATTCTATAGATTTTCTCAGTTATTATGTTTATTACATATCTTTCCCTCAATAGGATGCAAGTTCCATGAGGGCAGAGATTTTTGTTTGTTTTTCTCTTCTCCTCTTTTTCCTTTTCCTCTTCCTCTCCTCCCCCGCTCCTCTTTTATTCCAAAACATAGAACAGGCATAGAGCATAGAAAAGGCGATCAGGAACTATTTTTTGAAGCACATCATAGTTGGAGAATGCACTCTTCAGTATTTTCCACCTCTCTCTGTTTGCTTAGACCTAGACTGGTTCAGGCATTTACACTACCAGCTCTAGACTTGTCTTCCTATGCTCCCTTTATTCTCTTCTTAAATGTAACCCTTTCTTCCCTTGCCTCATTTTAGAACTCCTAGATATACATATTTTGTGTTTTGAGTTACACTTGATATTATTTTAGTTAGTATGTAATAGTATTTCCCATAGTCCTTAGTTCCTGACGTCCTAGTTGCTGCTAACCAATACCCCAGTGATGAAGTTTCTGACAAATGCAGGTGTCATTGAATATATATTCCTTGTTAATAGAGGTGCTGCTGCATAGTAATCTCAGTTTCCTGGTGTGGCTCTGGAGTGGGAGGCACTAAAAAGTAGGGGATAAAAACATGGGCTCTGGAGTCCAACAGCCCTGGATTCAAATCTTTGCTCTTTCACTAGATACCATAAACCTTGGGCAAGTTATCTAACCTTTCTGAACCTTAGCTACTTGTAAAATGGGGCTATTATTATATAGTAATACCTACCTCACAGAGCTATTGTGAGGATTAAATGGGATTATGTATGTAAAATGCTTTGTCTAGTGCTAATTATTATTATCATCATTCTTAATATGATTTCTGATTAATTTCTATTAGTCATGGATTATCAACTTAAAAAATTTTTCACAATTCTGAAGGTACTTGCTTTGTGTCAGAAGCATCAGTGTGATCATCAGTTATAACGGTACCAGACTAGGTGTAGGCAGGTTACAGCTTGTGGGCCAAATCTGGCCCGATACTTGTTTTTGCATATAAAGTTTTACTGAAACACAACCACACCTATTTATGTATTGTCTGTGGCTTCTTTTTTGCAACAATAGCAGAGTTGAGTAGTTGTGATAGAGACCACCTGACCTGCAAAAGCTAAAATGTTTGCTGTTTGGCTCTTTACAGAAAAAGTTTACAGACCGCTGTCCTAGATGTATAAGAAAGTAATGTTCTACAGAATTTTGCTTAATAAAGTGGAGTCAACTGGAGAATAGTTATAATAATAAGAATTGTTATAAGTATAACAATCATTAAGTAAGTATAATTATCATATATCGTCCATTAGTGTATGTCAGCCATTGTGCTAAGATGACATAGGTTAATCTAATGTTAGCCTTGAAATGACCTCTGAGGTAGATGCTCTTAGATCCATTTTATAGATGATGAAGCTGAGATTCAGGAAAGTCTAATAATTTGCCCAGAGTCTCTCAGTTGGAATTCAAGCCCAGGTCTGCACGATTCCAAACTTGCACAATATACTTTATCTGGAACCTTGGACAGGGTATTAATAAAGTGACTTAGAATTCTGGTCACAGATGCTGTATGATGCTGAACTGGTTATTTACTTCTGTGGGCCTCCATTTTCCCATCTTTAAAATAAGGGATTGGAATAGATATACCTTCAGGTTCCTTCTGGCCTGAACATTCTCTGAGTTCTAGGAGACCTTAGCCAGCAGGCAGCTATGGAGAGGTCTGAGGCAGGGCCTAGAATGTGTGATGAGTGGCTGAGGATGAGGCTGCAACTGCTTTGGGGTAGAGTTCAGGATGCGCTAGGACAGCTGGCAAGGTGAGGCACCACCAGCATCTGAGAGCTGTATTTGATAGGCCTACAGTGACTGCCTTCATGCAAATCACAAGAAATTAATGGTGTTCACAGTTAAAGCCCCTTCACCCTTTTCCCAGGAGAGATCTGTATTTCCTACCACCCCTGGGGGGGTGTTGTAGTGGGAGAAATTGCTCAAAAAGTTCATGTTGAATGATGGAAGGATCCAGCAATTCATTTATATTTAGTAGAATGATGATTTGGAAACCTCTCTTTCAACACCCCTTAATGCTGCCCAGACCCTTTCGTCTTTCAAGGTTGACTCATGGCTTAATCGAACCGTTTCCACACACGCTGTGGTCCAGAGTCTGGGCTTGTTCCTTTGGTCCATATAGCACATTTGGCTCTTTCGACCTGACTCCTGCTCCTCAGAGCACCAATGTTGGTAAAGAGAAGGAGTGTGGGGTTAGGAACCAACACTCACTCTGGTCTTCAGGTCAGGATTTGTGTGCAAATAATTTATTAAGAAAGTGCCTCTGTGGAAACCAGAAAAGGAAGCAGAGGGAGCAAGGCCAAGGAAGGGGAGGAGGCCAAGCCAAAGGTTCTGTTTGATTTTCCTAGGGCTGCCCCACAAAGGACCACAGACTGAGTAGCTTCAAGCAACAGAAACTTATTGTCTCATCGTTCTGGAGGGTAGAAGTCTGAAATCAGAGTGTTGGCAAGGCCATGCTCCCTCAAAAGCCTGTAGGGGAGGATCCTTTTATACTTCTGTTAGCTTCTGGAAGCCCCAGGTGTTCCTTGGCTTGTGGCAGCATAACTTCAGTCTCTGCCTCTCTCTTCTTCAGATGGCCAGCTTCCTGTCTGTCTCTGTCTCTGTGTCTAAATTCCACTTTTCTTATAAGGATACCAGTTGTATTGGGTTAAGGGCCCACCATCTTAACTTAATTACTTACATCTAAAAATGACCTGATTTCCAAATAAGGTTACATTCTGTGGTATATCTGTAAAGAGGATATCTTTTGGGGGAGGACACAATTTAACCCATAATGAGTGCAATCTGCAATTAAAGTCTTAGGGAGGGTGGTTCTAGCCTGACCTGGTGAGGTACTCTGGAGTGTAAGTTACATCTCAAAGTTATCCCAACCAAGCAAAACACACAAGAACAATGAGAAGGAATCTGAGAGGATCAAGGAGCGTTAACATTATCTGCCACAAGAGGCTAGGTAAGGTTCCAAATGCTCCAGTAATGACTTTCTGCCTGACTGGAATGGCAACTGAGAATGCTTAGTGGCTATGAGTAGGGGAGGGCAGGGAGGAGAAAGTCAGAGCCCTAGCGATTAGTCAGGGTTGATTTCCTGGCTCTGTGCTCCTTGCCCTGGCCCTGCCCCATCTCCAGTTTCACCCTTCCTTCATGCCTCAGTCACCCTTTGTCAGAGCTACCCTTTCAGGTTGACAAATTATCTGGCCTTACTTTGAGGACTAGCAGCTGGAGTGTCTCATAAAGGCCCAGTTCAGGAAAAGGATCCATAAACTGTGGCCTTCCAGAACAGAGGCTCCTAGGGGCTGGCGCAGTGGCATAGTGGTTAAGTTCGCATGCTCTGCTCTGGTGGCCCGGGGTTCGCAGGTTCGGATCCCAGGTGTGGAGCTATGCATCGCTTGTCAAGCCATGCTGTGGCGGCGTCCCATATAAAGTAGAGGAAGAAGGGCACAGATGTTAGCCCAGGGCCAATCTTCCTCAGCAAAAAGAGGAAGATTGGCAACAGATATTAGCTCAGGGCTAATCTTCCTCGTGGAAAATAAATAAATTAAATAAATAAATCGACATTAAAAAAAAAAAAAAAGAACAAAGTCTCCTAAATATGCACACAGCCTGATGGGGCTTGTTGCCTAGAAATAGCAGGATTCATTACTCCAGTCCCCACCCCAAATCCCTACACTTGCCTAGGCTTCCATCTTCAAAAGCCTTTTCGGTGTTTTGAGGGACACCATCTCCTCTTTTGCCCTCTCCAGGACTGTCTTCCATGGTCTCTGAAACATACTTCCTGCAGCCTCCAATTTTGAAGGCTAAGGTGTGTTGTGGGTGGTGAGGAGTGGATGAGAGGGGGAGCCACAGCCTGTGACCTTCTGAGCCCCATCCTTCATGCCCTCCTTCTCTGCCTCACTGCAACTCCAGTAGTTCTCTCTTTTGCGTATTCAGAGCATTTTCAATGAGATAGCTCTCTAATTCTGATTACATCCCAGATATTGGATTTGAAGCCACATGTTCAACTTTTCCATTAAAGGAATCCTTGTGCCTGTTTCCAGACATGAGTTTTCTGCGAGGCCTGCAGAAAATGTCATTTACATATTGGTCCATACCTATGTGCTTTGGATGGGTGTGTCTGTATCTTTCTGGTGCAGACGCCTATTCTGCCTTGAGAATAGGAATCCGTAGCTAGGTTGTGTAGGGCCAGCCTAGACAGTTGAAATTTGAAGCCATCTCCTTGGTGTGATTTTAGGGTCACCATCTCTCAGCTTCCCAGCCACAGAATTCCTGATGCCTGAAATTCTACCTTTAGAGACTCATTCTTTGTCTCAGGCTTGCTTTCCTTTTGACTCGCAGAGACACTTATGAAAGATAAGTCTTTTTAATCAGCAACTCTCTAGTGAGACCCTTTTCTGGAAACAGGTAAATTTTGGGGAGATAAGAAAAGATAAAGAGGGCACTTAATCATCAAAGGTGGGGGGTAAAGAAAGGGATACAATGAAAGGGGTGAAAACAGCACCATAGGGGGAGGCTGCAGAGGAGGTCCTGAACTTTGACGTTCTTTACGATTTGGGCAGTGAATGGATGCCAAGGTGGGTGGTATATTTGGAGGATGAGTTGGGTAGCTGTGAAGCAGTCTTTTTCTTTCCTTTCAGCATTTCAGTGCATTGAGGCCATGCAGGCCTGCCTGACTCAGGACCAGCTGGTGGTGGAGTGGCAAAGCTCTGCTCCAGAGGTGGACACATGGATGGTTGAGTGGTGTCCAGATTTGGACTCAGAGCCCTCCGACTTTTCCTGGGAATCTGTGTCTTGGGCCAGGAACTGGACAATCCAGCAAGGTAGCCAGAGCAGATCTCACAAGTTCCCACATGATTCAGTTTCGTTTTTATCAGTTTTTAAATCTTTAACTTTGGCTTTGAAGCTGTAAATGTGGTTAATAGCATTTGACAAGCCAGCGCAAGCTTAGTGAAGTAACACACTTCTTGGCATTGCCATGGTTATCAGACCAGGTATCTGGCCTGTTTCCAGGTGGAAAACACCATCTTAACACCCACCATTAGAGAACCCATCTCAGATATCTTGATCATGTGGATAAACAACAGAGTTTGTACCCCATCTGTCCTACCCAGGGCCCCCTCTTCGGTTCTGGTTGCCTGTTTAGGAGCTAGATCCTTTCCCCAGGTGATTGATGTAGGCAATAACCTTCTTTTCAAGAAAGTCCCTGCTCCATGTAAGACACATGAGGGAGGCCTTACCCTCCCAATCCTATCAGTCCGGCCATTTCTTAATACTTAATAGCATCCATATGAAGAGTTATACTCACGCAGAGATGCAGGCAGGCAGAGGAGCTAGAATTCATGGTGTCTGAGTTCTCTAGGGTGATATGCTATTGGCAGAAGGATTAAGTTGATTGTGCAATGCCCCCAAATCATATAACAAAATCAATGATGGAGGAGGGACTGGATCTCTTACTTTTCCCTACCTGGGTGGCTCTGTCATTTTGTCAGAGTGGTGCCGGGTTTAGTTCTAAGAATTAATTTAAAAAGGTTAGAACTGGAATAGACATTAAAGACCATCCAACTGAACCTCCTTATTTTCCAGATGTGGAAACTGTAGAGAAACAGAATGTCTTCTAAAAGTCTCAGGCTGTAACTCTTAGTCTAGCATTCCTTTCTTCTACTATGCCATACTCTGAACTTAATGCTTGTTTTCTCTCCCTCTCTCTCTTTTTTTTTTATTTTTATTTTTTACAGATGAATTAAAACCTTTCTGGTGCTATAACATCTCTGTGTATCCAATGTTGGGAGACCGAGTGGGCGAACCGTATTCCATCCAGGCTTATGTCAAAGAAGGCGGTATGTATGGATAAGGTCCTCTGGGGAAAAGGAAACACTGGGGCTTGTCCAACATTCAGACAAGGTGGTGAATGCCTGTAGCTCATTCACAGTTGCCTTAGTGCTCATCTGTGCTGCACCTTCAGCTTGTAGTAAGCTATGTATATTTGACACAAGTGTGGTCAGGTTATAGATTCACTGAATTTCAAAGCTGGGGTAGACGTTAGAGATCATCAGGTCCAAGCCCCTCACTTCACAAATGGAAAATTGAGGCTCAGAGAGGTGAAATAACTTGCCCAAAGTCACAAAGAAACTTAGTACAAATAGCGTTGTAAGCAGAAATAACAATTAGTTAAGACCAAGTTAGGGAACCTACAGAGTTTATCATAAGTTGGAAATGCTAAAAAATTAACTTTAATTATGTAGCAATAAGCAGGGGTTTTTCTGGTGAACTGCTCAGATTTTATTTTTATCTTTTTAGAAGTTAACGTCTTCCAGATTCAACAGTAGAAACTATATGCTGTCACTCAAAGGTAGCCCATGGAGGCATACTCTTCAACTATTTGACAATAGCTATCACAGATATGAATGAAAGAGCTGGGTGCCAAGTTACAGTGAGAGTGTGTATAAGAAAGTACTTTTTCTCGGGTCTTTGACTCTTCTTCTTTTCCTGTTCAAGATGAGTGACTCCAGAAAACAATTTTCCCAAACAAGTTGATTCATCAATTCCCTACTCTGCCCCCACCTCCCACCTCCAGCACTGATTTCAGTCTGAGTACTGGCCAGAGCCTTTGTAGGGGAGGGATCTGCTGGGGTTGTGATTCATTGTTTATTGTTTACCTCCCTGTCCTGTAAAGTTCCATCAGCAGGTCCTGTGACCAAGGCAGAGAACATTGGTGTGAAGACAGTTACAATCACATGGAAAGAGATTCCCAAGAGTCAAAGAAATGGTTTCATCAGCAACTACACCATATTTTACCAAGCTGAAGATGGAGAGGAATTCTGTAAGTATGCTTACAGCCACATTGAAAACTCCCCCAAACCCCAAATAGATGCTATGGATAGACCTGCCATAGGGATGGCTCCTATGGTGGGTACCCTGCAACCTTGCAGGATTCACTTAGCTTCTTTAAGCCTCTCTGAAAATGGAGCCAAGAGTACCCACCTCTTGAGTTTTTTGAGTCAAATGAGAGTGAAGTGACAGAACTTGAGAGTCCTGTAGGAACTGCAGGAGTTGATATAATTTGTCCTGGTCAGGCTGTGGACAAGTTGGCCTCCTGGGAGCTTCCTAACCATTATTCCAGAGGAGCATGCCTGGATTAAAGAGTAGAGTGGGGACAGACCCTGTCTGGTGGCACTTACCTCAGTGCAGCACCCTTTACCATGACTTCTTCTGCTCACTGCCAAGGCATGTTTTTTTCTTAAATCCATAATATCTCCTGACATACTAAATTCTGGACTAGGCTTGGATTCCTGTTTGGCTAATTTTTTTTGTTATTATGGTAAAATACATATAACATAAAATTTACCACTTTAAACAATTGAAAGTATACAAATTAGTGGCATTAAGTACACCCATAATGTTGCGTAACCATCACCATTACCCATTTCCACCCCAAATAGAAACCCTGTACCCATTAATCAGTCACTTCCAGTTGCCCTCATCCCATAGCCCCTGGCAACCACAAAACTGCTTTCTGTCTCTATGGATTTACCTATTCTGGATATTTCATGTAAATGGAATCATACAATATGTGGCCTTTCGTGTCTGGCATCATGTTTTGAAAGTTTATCCACATTGTAGCGTGTATTAGTACCTCTTTCCTTTTTATGGCTGAATAATATTCCATTGTTTGGATATTCCACATTTTGTTTATCCCTTCATCAGTTGATGGACATTTGGCTTGTTTTCACCTTTTGGCTACTGTGATTAATGCTGCTATGAATATTAGTGTACAAATATCTGAGTCCCTGCTCTTAATTCTTTGGGGTGTAATTGCTAGAAATGGAATTGCTGAGTCATATGGTAATTCTAGTTTAACTCATTGAGGAACCACTAAACTGTTTTCCACAATGGCTATACCATTTTACATTCCCACCAGCAATGTATGAGAGTTCTAATTTCTCCACATCCTTACCAACACTTATTATTTTCTATTAAAAAATTTTTATTATGGCTATCCTAGTGGATATGAAGCAGTATCTCAGTGTGGTTTTGCTTTGCGTTTTCTTAATAGCTAATGATGTTGAGCATCTTTGCATGTGCTTGTTGGCCATTTGTATATCTTCTTTGGAGAAAGTCTTCAATCTCTTTGCTCATTTTTAAATTGGGTTGTTTGTCTTTTGGTTGTTGAGTTGTAAGTTGTTTTTTTTTATCTTCTGGATACAAGTTCCTTATCAAATAGATGATTTGTAAGTATTTTTTCCCATTTCGTGGATTGTTTTTTTCACTATCTTGATAGTGCATTTTGACGCACAAAAGCTTTTAATTTTGATAAAGTCCAGTTTAATCTGTTTTCTTTTGTTGCTTGTGTGTTTGGTGTCATATCTAAGAAACCATTGCCAAATTAAGGCCCTGTAGGTTCACCCTATGTTGTCTTCTAACAGTTTTATAGTTTTAGCTCTTATATTTAGGTCTTTGATCCATCTCAATAGGCTAATTTTAAGCAGAACATAGATAAAGGGATTGGCGTATGACATGGCCAAGCTTGGAAGTACTGGTTCCAACCCTCTTGTTTCAGTGCCACTAAAGCACAATTTTCAGTTGGGCTTGGCTGTGGTGTTTGACTTCTATATTTTTCCTTTAGCCAAGACAGTCAACTCCAGCATCCTGCAGTATGGCCTGGAGTCCCTGACAAGAACGACCTCTTACACTGTTCAGGTCATGGCCAGCACCAGTGCTGGGGGAACCAACAGCACCAGGATTAACTTCAAGACATTGTCAATTAGTAAGTATTTTCTTTAAGCCCTGGATATGTCTCCTTGGCATTTCCCTTAGGCCAATTGGAGATGATGTTTGCCAAAGGCAGGAGGAAGCCAAATGAAACAATAGTACCTAAGTAAGAACGGAGAACATCTGTTTTATGGCTCATTGACCTTCCTGGAAGGTGTGTGGGTGAGGAGAGAGTAGTGAGAGCAGGCAAATTGAGAGCTGAATTTGGAAAGCCTGGTCATTTTGCTCCTTCCTCATGGGTAGCCCCATATGATCTTGAGGAGGAGGGATCAAGTTAATGCCATCTTTACTCTCAGCCTCCAACTAGCTCCTGCTTCAAGGCTGTCCCCAAGTTTGCAGTCACCAGTTTCTATGTGTCAGAGGTTACTGCACAGTGGGGTGTTGGAGGGAAAACCTTGTTTGAACAAGTACCATCAGCCTACAGGGAGGGACTTAACCTCATCATTTGTGGAGTTTTTTGAGCAAAAACGTATATAATATGTTCTACTTATCAGCTTTACATTAAAAATAGGGAGCAAGAAAAATTTAATAAATACAACAAAAATGTAAAATACAATGTAGTTTCATATACTGTTATGGGAAATATTCAAGAGAAAAAGAAGATGGAATGAGGAGGGAGATGAAGAAGAAATAAGGAAGGAGAAAGAGAGAAATATGTTAATTTTTCCAAGTCCTTGAGTGGCAAAGATTTGATTTTAAGGGTATACTAAAACTGTTTCAAGAAATGAGCAACCTTTTATATGAACAGTGAAAGAACATTGCCAAATTTTGCAGTAAAAGCTAAAAATAGTCTGGTTTAAGGATTCTTGAAAGCCTCTTATTCATCACATTTTCAAAAGAATAAAAATAGCTTTATGGTTCTGGAAAATGTGAATATAGTTTGTGTTTTTACATGGAAAACATGTTCAATTTTTATGGACTAACATTGCATTTTGGGGGTTCTTTTTGATATGGTTCTTTAAAATCTTTTAAGATCATGTTGTATTTTCACAACACTAGGCACAAATTGCATTATCTGATGGAATTTTCTCCAGGGGTCAAATTGAAGGCAAGAGTTTGTCTTGGAGCCTGCAAGTTTCTTACCCTTGGTCTACAGATTATAGATCTCCCTGCTTCTGTCTTTGGTCCTCTACAATCTATTCTCCACAAAGCAACCAGAGTTGAAAACTCTAGATCCTCTGCTTAAAATCCACCAGTGACTTCTGTTGCATTTAAATAAAATCCAAACTCCTTCCCATAGCTTTCAGGATCCTTCATCATTTGTCCCTTGCTGACCTCATCTCCTACCACCTTCTGCCTCCATTATTGTCCCTTGTTCCTGCTTCAAGGCTTTTGCACCTGCTGTTGCTTCTGCCTGGAATGCTTTCCTCATGTTTTTGCATGGCTGGTTCCTTCTCATTATTAACATGAGCTCAAATTTCACTTCTCAAAGAAGTCTTCCTTTGCCACCCTATCTAAATTTCCTAACCTTCCTCCCACCTTACCCTAGTTACTCTCTACACCGTGTTTTATCTGAAATAATCTTATGTTATTTATTGTCTGAATCTTTCTACCAGAGCATAAGCTCCATGAGAGTAAGGATCCTCTATTTCTTGCTTATTGCTGTTTGTTTTATTATCCAGAAGAGTGTTTGGCAAATTGTAAGTGCTCAGTAAATATTTACTAAATGAATGAAGTTGGAGGATAAACTTGATGAGCACAATTTCTGTCAATATTATTCAGGGAGAAAAGAACTGGATGGGGAGCCACTAATACCAAGCGTTTTTTTTTAATTGAATGAATTTGAATTGAATTGAAAGAAAACTAATAAGCGATGTGTTGCTGAAGATACTTGAAGAAAAGGTTAATCTTTGATTTTTGTCGAGAAAGTGAGGAGCTCAACCTGCGACTGACTCTTGTTCTCCTTTTCCCAAAGGTGTCCTTGAGATTTTCCTTATAACTTCTCTGGTTGGAGGAGGCCTTCTTATTCTCATCATCCCGATGGTGGCATATGGTCTCAAAAAACCCAAGTGAGTTTATAGGCAACAGTGTGTGCCCTCAAAATCAGGGATGGAAAAGGGTGGAAGGCATCACGGGTGGAAGAGGAGGTGTTCATTCATTTATTAATTTGGTGTGTATTTATTGAGTTCATTGTATGCCGTACCCCATGGCTCATCAGAATTCTGACCAAATGAGAGGACTTTCACCCCCTACAGCCCCATGTACCAGTCCTAGGCCTTTTTGAGGCCAGGGGAGTCCCAGCTGCCCCATAGGCTTTATCTGCTGTGCTCGGCATCTGAGACTAGAGTTGGGGAGAAGGTCCTTTTTCTCAGCGTCTAGAGGGGGCCCATCCCAGCAGCAAAGGCCGCAAGGCCACTAGCTTCTCTCCCAGGCAGAGCAGGGAGCTACATACCCATGGAGTTAGAGTGCTGGCCAGTTGTATGCCCAGCACAGACTTGTTCCTTGCTTACGGTGCAGTTGGAGGGCTGGCTGCTGGGGCATTTGTCCTGCCTGCCCTGGCCACTGTGGGGAAAGAAGCTTATCTTTAGGGTCTTGTTCTTTCTTTCCCCAGAGAGCCTCATGCTACCCTGATGGTCAAGGGCTCCCTCCCTGGTAGACCTCTCTCTCCAGAACTGCACAGTTGTGGGCCTTCTTTGCCCAGCAGCTGTGCTTAGTTATGGTCAAGCTAACATCAACCTCAGTTCCCAGCTGTACATTGTAATCAAGTCACCAGCACAAATTCTTGTACATTTTGCTTGTCTAAGAAGCTCCCAGGTGATGCTGATGCTGCTGGTTGGGACCACACTTTGCGAATCACTGCGTTAAAGAGTGGGTAGCTTAGGGCCGGCTCTGTGGCTTGGCGGTTAAGTGCGCGCGCTCTGATGCTGGCGGCCCAGGTTTGGATCCCGGGAGCGCCCGGAGGCACCACTTCTCCGTCCAACGCGAGGCCGAGTCCCGCGTACAGCAACTAGAAGGATGTGAACCTATGACATACAACTATCTACTGGGGCTTTGGGGGGAAAAAGCTGAATAAATAAAATCTTTAAAAAAAAAAAAAAAAGAGTGGGTAGCTTATAAAGCTTAGAGTGTTACCCTTCCTGTGGAATAAAATCTCAAAGAAATGGCTCTGTGATGGTGTGGCTTCTGGCATCAGGCAGGGTAGGCGATGCAGGGGCAGGAGAGCAGGAAAGGTAGGAATAGATTTGTGTGGGGAGAGGTCTCTCCCCATCACATCCCATAGATAACTTGCAATTTCACCCCCCAAGCTACTTTGCTTTCCCAGTTTCAGTCAGGAGGCTGGGAGCTTGCCCTTATTTAATAGGGAGCCACACAATTCTCTTTAGCAAAGCCCCGCTCTTTTGGCTTAGCCTTATGGTGCAAGTCCACTTCTTGGACTCACTTCCTGTTTTAAAATCTTGTCTCTTATTAGCAAATTGAAGCACCTATGTTGGCCTGATGTCCCCAACCCTGCCGAAAGCAGTATAGCCACATGGCATGGAAATGATTTCAAGGTAAATACTCCTGTTTTTGTTAAGGACATCATTGGTTGTGGGAGGTGGGGAGGAGTCCTCGAATCGTTTTTCTCAGATTGGGGAAGTTATGGTCAAACTTTTTCTGGCAATGGTGTTTTCTAGTAAATTATCCATAAATAGAAACTCTCATTTTTCATAAGTTTTTAAATTGAAAACTGTTCTGAGAATTTTAAGTTTTAATTTCTTGCTCAAGTAGAAATAAGCCTGATCAAATGTAACCTTTAAATCCTTATTATCGAAAGATTATTCCAGTATTTCTTGATGAAGGAATTTTTTTTTCTTTTTTTTTTTTTATAAATTTTTTGTTTATTGCAGTAACATTGGTTTATAACATTGTAAAAATTTCAGGTGTACATCATTGTACTTCTGTTTCTGCATAGGTTACATCATGTTCACCACCAAAATACTAATTACAACCCATCACCACACATGAACCGAATTATCCCTTTCACCCTCCTCCCTCCCCCCTTCCCCTCTGGTAACCACCAATCCAATCTCTGTCCCTATGTGTTTGTTTATTGTTGTTATTATC